CCGAAACTTGAAAGCTTTGAAAGAAGGATGTTGTGATTTACCTTATCAAAGGCTTTACTGAAGTCAGTATATATTGCATGAGTTTCTGCATTATTAGCAAATGATGAATTTATGAATGTTGTAAAGAGAAACAGGTTCGTCTCAACGGATCTACCGGCTGTAAAACCGTGCTGTTGACTGATCACAATCTGATGAAATATTTTTGAAAGAATTCCTTCCACGCACTGCTCAAATAATTTTGGAATCGCAGACAGAATGCTGATGGGTCTGTAATTTATTACATCATTTTTGCTGCCTGACTTGTAAATAGGACAAACGTAGGAGAGCTTCCACATTTCTGGAAAAATTCCAGAAGATAATGATTTGTTGAAAATATTAAACAGAGGAAGATACAAAGTGTTAGAACAAGATTTTAGTACTTTGTTGGGAATACCATCAGGTCCTGCAGACTTGTTGATGTCCAATTGCGTTAAAGCCCTCTCAATATCTGTTGGATCTATGACAATGCTTGAAACATTCTCAAATCGATCAGCAAAGGTTCCAGCGTCGGAATTTCTCTGAGGGTTATAGACGGAGGAGAAATAGACAGCAAAAAGATTAGCTATGTCAACACCGTTGGACGCCTTTTCTGAGGCAAGAAACATTTCGTTAGGTACCCTGATTAGATTGGGAGTGAATAAAGTTCCAAAAAATTTTCATATTGGTGCCTATGGCTCTTTCAGTATCACTTATGTATAATTTATAGCACTCTTTGGTGAGGTTTTTACAATCTCGCCGAAGTGTACTAAATGCAAAGTAATCCAAACCTCTATTCGACCGCTTGAATCGTCTGTGAGCAATTTTCTTTTGAAAAATCAGATTTTTCAATTCGTTAGAGAACCAGATAGGAAATTTCTCGCTGTAAGAATGTGCCTTTATTGGAACAAACATATTAAAGCAGTCGAACAGTACCAAGTAAAAGCTCTTAACAGTTTCGTTTAGATCGTCCATCATAATGGATCGCCAATCAAAGGAAAGAAAATATTCATTAACCAAATCAAAATTGGCATTTTTAAAGTCATAAGAAAAATAATTAAGAGGCTTCAGAAATTTAGCTTTAACAACAGGTATGGAAAACTCTAGAGCTGGGTGATAACGATCACATCCCACCAGACCGTCAGATGTTACAAGTGAAATAGGCCCAAAGTTGGCAAAACATAGATCCAGGATTGAACCATGATCGTTAGCCACCCCATTGTATTGAGACAGATTAAGAGAAGCAGTACTATCACATAACAATATTTCCTTAGTTGTCCTTACATTTCCAGGTAATAAACCCGAGAGATCCTCACTAGTGGACCACGTTATTTGGGAAAGATTATAATCTCCAAGAACAAGCACATTATCAAACATTTCACAGGCACTAGCAACTGATTTCAAATGGTTTTCATAATGGAGCACATCCATGGTAGGTGGAATGTAGACACAGCCAATACAGAAGACCATGTCACCCAGCGTAACAGACACCCACGCACTTGAAGACTGCAGGGAGAAATTTTGTCGGTTAAGATACCGTAACTAATTTTACAAAGAAAATGTAAGTATAGAGATTAAATTCAATGGAAAATTGAAACGTTGGAGTTAGTGCGGCATTCGAACTCTCTTCCATCGCATTGCTATAGTCCGACAAATACCATTTTAAAGTCACGTGATATTGGTGGCAAAAAACGTATGTCCATTGATTATGTCGTTGATATCACCTACAAAAAGCTACTGGTGGATAATTACTATTGAATTTTAGGATATGTTCCCACTAGCATTTTACAAATGCGTTTCTGAAGTAGTATTGGCCAATCAAATGGGACTTTTAATACTTACAATTGTTGTGAGACTCACTTTTGTCGTATCTGCTGTCCATTGGAATACATTCTGAACTTGAATTGGGTACCCGATTTCTATTTGCTTCTTTTCGAGTTGGAAAAAGATTAATATAGTCAAAATTATTAGCTGTGTTTGTTCGCTGTATCATTTTCGAAAATAACTTTGACAAACTAATTGATGACAGTGACGGATTTTATTTCAGGTAAGAATATTATGAACAATAATTAGACACCAATTTTTTTGTCAATTTTGCTATCACCGCGGTTTGAGATGTATTCAACAAGGATAGAGAAAAATCACGTGACTTTAAAATGGTATTTGTTGGACTATAGTACGAAACTAGGAAACTCTACCAACTGAGAAAACCAACCCACCTGGCAGCTTTTCGGCGAATTAACACACACAATATTTTCAGTAATTTCAATTTTCACATTTTTTTTTGTAAAATTAGCTTTAGTGTCTTAACCGACAAAAGTTCTCCCTTTCTTCAACTTTGCTTGTACGAATTTTAACACATCGTGGACGAAACTTGCGAAACAGTGGTATACGCGACTTATCCTAGCGGGACCGATGCCACATTCGTGAATCATTGGAAGATTAAAATGATTTGAGTGTGTGGGATTCGAACAAAACAGCCGTTAATTCGCCGAAAATCTACCAAGGGTCTGATTCGCGTCTCAGGGAGAGGAGAGCTCCCCGAGTGAACAAACTTTGCATCTTTATCATTGTCGTTCACTTTTCAATTACGTTGACAAGGACAAAAAATTCGTTCTCTCGGGGAGCTCTACTCATGCGTCCTTATTCTTGAAACAGAGGAGCAGCGTTTCCAGGAGAACGAGTGTTCTATCTTTCTCAATTGGAATGGAAATGATAATATAAATAACAAATATGAAACACTCGTTCTCCTGGGATCGTTGCTCCCCTGTTTCAAGAATAAGGACTCTGGGGTCCTTATTTTTGAAACAGAGGAGCAGCCTTCCCAGGAGAACGAGTGTTCCGTCTTTGTAACATATATTATTTATCATTCGCATATCATTGAGAAAGACGGAACAGTAGTTCTCCTGGGAACGCTGCTCCCCTGTTTCAAGAATAAGGACCCTGGTGGGTTGGTTGGCTCAGGGGTCGTATTTTCGAATATTCTCGCATACAAAGTTTGATAGGATTTCGAATGCTCCCCATTTAATTTATATTGCTGTCAGTCAAATTTCGTGTACGAAATGTACTTGAATGAATTCGAAAATACGCCCCCAGTTGGTAGAGCTCCTTACTAGCAATGTGATAGTCGTGGGGTTGGAATCCCGCACTAACTCCAATTTTTATTGAATTTAATTTCCACAAATTTTCTTGGTTGAATTTATTTTTTTGGAATAACCTAATTACCACTAGTAATGGGTCACTTTCACATTTTTCAAAAACATTTTAAATTATTCTTTTAGTCATTCTAATACTATCTGTATACTTTCTTTTTGAAAAAAGAACGTTTATTTTTGAACCAAAAATTATTTAAAAATCGAATTTTCAAACTGGCGCGAAAACGCGAACTTGGTTTGTGCCGTCACAAACCAGAAAATCAACAAAAACGCAAGGATGCCAAATTTCTCATTAATAAATCATTACACATTTCACTAGCTAGAAACTATTTTCATCCTTTAAGTACTACATTATTAAAAAATAAAGGATAGGTATAATCCTTATAAACTCATTTAAATTTCGCATTTCTACATGTGGCAAAAAAAAACGTCAAAATCGGCTTTAGCCAATCAGAGAGCGTTTTCAATCACGTGATTTTTCGTTTAAATTTTTAGTTTTTATTTATTAATTTATTAATAATTTGACTGAAATCTTGCAAAATATTGTTCATACTCGGTTGCATTGATGTATCTGCGTTAAAAAATATAATTTGCCATATTCCCGGCACGTGAAAGTGGCCCATTGTATGCCCCTTTTTTCACACTTAGGTGAAGTAGAGGCATGTTCAGCGTCTATATAGACAGATTAGCCTTTGTACCTTCTAGTTTGATCTGAGCGGTGTCCTACTCAGTTTTTGACCACCACACCGATGAGATATATGTGACTATGGCCCATGGGCTTGCATGTTTGTAAGACTAGTCAAAGCGTTGCCAAAATTAAATCGTTATATAGAAAAGGCCACTAGCAAAACCAAATGTATTCACTTAGGTCTGCGGATCCTAGGGATTTCGGTGGATTTCGGCAGATTTCGGAGTGATTTCGTGGATTTCGGGGATTTCGGAAGGATTTTGGGGATTTCGAAAGGATTTCGGGGATTTCGGACGAATTTGTGACACGATTTCGGGGAGTGATTAACCCTTCGGATAAAGTATCACTTTAGACGCTTCATATGAGTGGATAAAACTGACATTATTTGATGATTGTGGATAAAAAATCTTTATATTTATTGAAATATTTTTGGAACCTTTTTCATTTTCATTGAAATCAGACCTCAAACCCTGCTGTAGTACTTAGTCAAACAAATATACATCTTATTAGATCTGAGCCGTTTTTTCGCGTCCACTTTTTTGACATTGGTTCAAACCTGTTTTGAAAAAAGTGTATGCGAGAAAACGGCTCAGATCTAATAAGATGTACATTTGTTTGACTAAGTACTACAGCAGGGTTGTCCCAATTGGAAACTTTTAATAGGAAATGCACAGAGGAAACGTCATTCTGGTCGAGACAGTTACAAAAAAAATAGATAACCCCCCACTCTGAAGCTCAAATTTATTCATGAAATTTTGATTGGTGCAGAGGCTGTTACTGGATCTTTAGCAATACACTGAACAGAAATCAAAGAGGAAATCAATTTTTATCTTGAACAAAAAGTTATCAAGCAAGTAACAAAATGAAACTGTAAATTTCACCTGGTTCCTCTTCTACCTTGTTGGTAATACTCAGAGTAATGAACCTCACTCACCTCAAAAAAAAGTTAACAGCAACAAGTGATTAGATAGGTATTTTAATAAGGTATTGTGTCTGGGAATAGGAGAGCCAGGGGCTAGAATTTTCTGTCTACATGGGAGCAGAGGACAAAACTAGTAAAAAAGCGAGAAAAAAAGTTCACAATATGAATGAACAAAATTATACTGGATACTGTACATAAAATACCTGAGAATTTCACTTACATTTTCAATGTTCCCGATGATTTCACCAATTTTCTCTTCATTATTCAAAATTTCATCTAATTCCTCATTCGACAAGTCGCCCAGTTGAGATACTGCCCTTTTAGCATCAGAGTGTAGTATTTGTACGGACATTCTTTACCTATTTATTATATATTTTAATTAAAAATAAAATAATTAAAGATGACTTCTTGTATTTTCAAACAATAAAAATAAACCGTGACGTAAAGTAAAACGTCAATGGATTTCTTGACAGATCAAGAGTTCCACTACTTCTTTATAGCGATTTCCATTTGTCGAACCAGAGCTGCTTTCTAGTATCCACATTGGCGCGCTCTAGAGCATCTCGGGGGCGCCACGCACTAGATTTGTACCGTTCCAGTATCATGGCGTGAGACGCCTGTCTTACCTTGCGTTCGGTATATTGCTCAAAGAGCAGAGCGTGCTGAGCGGAGCCGTAATCACGTGACCAGCGAGCGAACAGAGCAGTTGAACGCTATATAAAAGCGCCAGAAATTTTAATAAACGAACGCGAATGAGGCTGCACCGAGTACACTTTTTTAATAAACGAACGGTAAAGTCAAGCTCGGAGAACTCAGACCAAAATAACGAACGCACGGTTAGTGTCAAATATGTCAAATTTTAAAAATAATTATCTGTTTGTGTGTGCAGTTTGATTTTTTATTTATCAAAAATGAAAGAGAATCACAACTATATTTTGAAAATGTTCAATCACGAGATATAACAAGTAACAAGAAATAAGTAAATAAATAGCCACCCACGGATTTGACAGCTGACAGGTTGACGCGTACCTACAGCTCGGGAGCTCAACGCACTGAGTATCTCCGAGCGTCACATTCCCATACTGGAAAGCCGCACAGTGCAAAAAAAATGTATCCCTATCCTTACATGTTATATCCTTTTAGAAAAAGATGCGAATACACTCAGTACGCACTGAATGATAAATGGAAATCGCCATCAGAGCTCTCCAGGCTCAAAGAGAAAACCGGGCGTGTTCCAAGCCTCGTTCTCGGTAAGGATTTCAGAACTGATTCGGAACAATGGGAGCTATTCGCTTGCGCCGTTGAAATTATATGTCGTCGCAGACCACTGGATTCTGAATTTTTTGTTCGCAATTCAACTATAAAATCGATTCTGCTAAACTAGTTTCACTGATTTTAGGATCTAGGATCTCAAAACAAGAACCCCGGAAGCTCGTTTTTCCTTCGGCGATTTTCAGCCTGGAATGATTATTATTTGGTTATAACCAATGCATTTCCGCCGTCGCGGTTTTAACCAAAGTAGGGGAAGTTGTGATGTCACATATCAGCTTATTTGCTTTTGGTATTTACCACTTATAACCGATTATAACCCAGCTTTGGACTTGGGTTAATCTTTTGGTTACAGCTTTTTGATGTTATTGTTATTATTTTGGGAATTGGTATTGGTGTTTTGTGATTTTTCAGTTGTGTTGTGGCTTGGCACTATGGAAGAAGTATACGCTCACTCACTCACTGCAATTCACCATGTTTAGATCGAGGTTTAGATCATCCCCAAAGAAAATCTGTTCGATAAACGAGACTAACGAGAGATTCCGCTCCATTTTTTGTACCTAAACAACAAACCATTGTTGAAACGAAAAAACAAATAGGAATAATAAACATAATCCTACACTGCTATAACCAAAGGCGATTTTCAGCCTGAGGCGATTTTCAGCCTGGAATGATTATTTATCGGTAAATACCGTGGTTATTCTTTTGGTTGACGACTTTGACAGCCAAGTGTGACGTCATAGCCCCCCACCATTCAAGAATCATAACCCAAGGAACTGACCGCTGAAATGATTTGGTTATAGCAGTGTAGGATCATGTTTATTATTCTTATTTGGTTTTTCATTTCAACAATAGTTTTTTGTTTAGGTACAAAAAATGGAGCTGAATCTCTCGTTACTCTCGTTTATCGAACAGATTTTCTTTGGGGATGATCTAAACCTCGATCTAAACATGGTGAATTGCAGTGAGTGAGTGAATGTATACTTCTTCCATTGTGCCAGGCTACAACGCAACTGTAAAATCACAAAACACCAATACATATTCCAAAAATAATAACAATAACATCAAAAAGCTGTAACCAAAAGATTAACCCAAGTCCAAAGCTGGGTTATAATCGGTTATAAGTGGTAAATACCAAAAGCAAATCAGCTGATATGTGACGTCACAACTTCCCCTACTTTGGTTAAAACCGCGACGACGGAAATGCATTGGTTATAACCAAATAATAATCATTCCAGGCTGAAAATCGCCTCTGGAATGATTATTATTTGGTTATAACCATTGCATTTCCGCCATCGCGGTTTTAACCAAAGTAGGGGAAGTTGTGACGTCACATATCAGCTGATTTGCTTTTGGTATTTACCACTTATAACCGATTATAACCCAGCTTTGGACTTGGGTTAATCTTTTGGTTACAGCTTTTTGATGTTATTGTTATTATTTTTGGAATTTGTATTGGTGTTTTGTGATTTTGCAGTTGCGTTGTAGCCTGGCACAATGAAAGAAGCACTCATACTGCAATTCACCATGTTTAGATCGAGGTTTAGATCATCCCCAAAGAAAATCTGTTCGATAAACGAGACTAACGAGAGATTCAGCTCCATTTTTTTGTACCTAAACAAAAAACTATTGTTGAAATGAAAAAATAAAAAAGAATAATAAACATAATCCTACACTGGTATAACCAAATCATTTCAGCGGTCAGTTCCTTGGGTTATGATTCTTGGATGGTGGGGGCTATGACGTCACACTTGGCTGTCAAAGTTGTCAACCAAAAGAATAACCACGGTATTTACCGATAAATAATCATTCCAGACTGAAAATCGCCTCATCATTTCAGCGATCAGTTCCTTGGGTTATGATTCTTGAGTGGTGGGGGGCTGTGACGTCACACTTGGCTGTGAAAGTTGTCAACAAAAAGAATAACCACGGTATTTACCGATAAATAATCATTCCAGGCTGAAAATCGCCTCTTGTATAGTCATTCCCAAAACTCAAAAGATGTACCGTACCAGAGTCTATAGACAACCCCAGTGTACCTGATGGGCTGTAGCGGCTGTAGATAATGAAAAATTATTACAAAGAGCTGTTTTCTCGCGTTCACTTTTTTGTTAGACCACTTTCGAAAAATGTTTTAAAACATTTGAGAGATCTGTCATCACTTGACATACCGCTACTAGTTGTTTTGTAACCGTAAAACTCTTTTCACGTGGCTCCGGTTTAACAAACCGCAACATACCGCTCAAATTCGAGTGGTACAGTCTTTTTTTTAAGATAATTCCCCAAGTCAAAAATTAGTAACTATGTTAGCAACACAAGCCTTTTCTACATAAAAAATTGAATGCTTTGACAATTTTACATTGTATTGCCAACCCAATGTCATTTTGACTTTTATCTTTAACACGATCGCTGCTCATGACTCATTAATAAGTCATGTGCTGTATTAGGCAATTCAAACCACGTGACATTCAAGATGGCGTGGCGGCCACACATGGGCCAAAAAACACAAAAAAATATCTAGTTTCTGCCGGAATTAATAGTTCAGGTACCTAAGTCAACAAATATTTTATTAAATAATGAAAATCAAAATTGTAAGCAAAACTGTATGCAAAATAATTTAAAATACGCATAAAAACATATCCAAAACAAACTTGCTTGGCCGCCACGCCACATTGAATTTTCCGTTTTGACAGATGGATTGAATTGCCTAATTTGCCATGTGCACTGCAGCAATCGGCTTTATTTCACGTGAGCGTGTTCACAAGTATTCAAAAATAAATTAAAAAACAACACTTGGTCGAGTTTGTGATGTGGGGGTAAAAAGATGGAGGGAATCTGATACTATTGCCTTGAATGAAAAATTATTTATAGCGCGCATGTGGTTATGAGCGTTCAAGTGTTGGAGCTCTGCAGTATTCGGGTGAATTTTACATTTTACATCATAGTAGTGATTGTACGTGTTTTTATCAGCACTACGTTACCAATATGGTGCTCAGTGCGCGTGACTCATTTAAACGTCATGGCCCATTTGGCCCTAATTTTTGTAGAAACTTATTTCAGGACAGTTGTAAATGCAATTTCTGAAAGAAATACCTCAGATTTATGTGAAAAAGTTCGTTAGCACTAGGCGCCCTCGTTCTAAATCTGAGTCCCAGCGAACGTGTTAAAAAAAAAACAGATTTTAGGTATCCATCACGTCACACCGGGTTAGAAAACGGTATGATGTCATTTCTCTAACCGTTTTGTAACCCGGTTAGATAAACCGGAGCCACGTGAAAAGAACTTAAGGGCGGCTTCTCATGAGCGCAATTTGACATTTATGGCGTGACAGCGTAACTGAATAATTTTGATTGGCGAAAATCCCGCCATATTGGATAGGCTGACATTCGGCCGAGATACGCCAAAAGTTACTAGAGTCTAGCCGTCACAGCCGGAGCAAACCCGATAATAGTCGAACAGCGAACTCTGGTGCAAAGAAAATCGAGAACAAGAATTTAATTGTTATTTCTATCGTTTCTTTAACTATTCTTATTTTTATAAAACAAAATTACAAGTCCATTTTACAAGATAATAATTATTTGTAAAAATATTACATTTTTTGTAGTTTGGATTAAGGATAGTAGGTAATATAATATTCGGATGATCCAGAAAAACTTTGCAAAAAAAATTCGATTCAATCCTAATGAACATTAATAATGTGGAAAGGTATGGGGCGTTAGAATAGGCATTATTTGCCTATAAACCCAGTACCTGCTATTGACCACTTTAAAACGAAATTACCTATTCTCTTAAAAAGTTGCCATTACTCCACAGAGGAAATGTAGGTATATCAAAAAAAAATTTTTTTTATCAACATCCTGAAAGAGATGATAAAAACGCATTAATTTTGCAGACAATATTAGACTCTAATGATAAATCCACGGACTCGAACACGAATACGTTATACCTTTATACCTATAGAATACTTAATTTCCAGGCATATGCAAATTACAATATTTTTTGATAATGTATCAGTTTTCTTTTATTTATAATTAATATTGATTTTAAATTAATTTTTGTTGTTTTTGCTACAATTGAATCACCTTCCTTCAAATTCCATGCGCTCGGCTCGGTTTTCGGTTACAATCGTAGTTACTCCACATGTGAGGGCTAGATTCTAGTCCAAAAGTTGAGCAAAGTTCAACTTTTCGCGTAGAAATTCAGCATTTTTAGAGGTTAAGGTGGCATCCGTTTCGTTTTCTTGATTTTTGTAATTATCTACTGTTTATATTTGTGATTATT